AAAAAACACAACAGCACAACAGATTCTCACCACTGGGCTAATTGGCAGCATCATGATAGATGGAGAAGAGATTGAGGTTGTTAACAATTTCAGCATACTCAATTCCACAATCGACATTCTTGGAACCAGCAGCCAGGAAATCAAAAGATTAATTAGATTAGAATAGTCTGCTGCTGTCAAGGACCTCTCCAGAGTGCTGAATTGCAAAGATATCAGTCTAGAAACTAAGGTATGCCTCATTTAGGCCATGGTCTTAGCAATTACTTGCTGTGCATCAGAGAGCTGAACAATGACAACGGGTGACAGAAGAATTGATGCCTTTGCTTTGTGGTGCTGGAGAAGAGTATTGAGGCTACAATGGACTGCCAAAGGAACAAGCAGATCTTTTCTGGAGAGGGTTAAACCAACTTTGCTCTGTGAAAGCAAGGATTTTGAAGCTTTGTCTCAAATATTTTGGACATGTAGCCATGAGGGACCAGTCCTTGGAAAAGGACATTATACTTGGAAGGGCAGAGGGACAGTGCAGAAAGGAAAACTCTGGATGAAATGGATTGACACAGGGACCTGGGTAGCAGTTGCAGGTGTGTCAGAGACAGTGAGATTAACTCAGGATAGGACAGAGTTCTATTATACATAGGAATGCAGAGTCACAGGCAACTCAATGGCTCATAACAACAGAGTCCCTTCAGACGAAAGCCCAGGTGATCCACTAGCTACTCCAGGAGAAAGATGATGAGTCTTCTCTGGTGTGATTTATAGCTCAGACACCTGATGGAGGGTCAGCTATGAGTTGGTTCTGTATCAGCAACAGCGAAAGAGAGAAGGGGAGATCAAATCATAGTAATCTCAGTTCAGTCTCTTCACTTTCTAGGCATCAAATTCCTTTACTCTAAAGATGTGGACATTGCATTAAATAATATTTAAACTTCTTTCTAGTTTCAAAAGTACATGCTCCCAAGATCAACATTGTGGATATACAAATAAAAACCACCAAATTATTTGGGGAGCCCTGGTGGTAGTCTATATGGTGTTTCATTGCTAACTCATAGGCAGCTTGAATCCGCCAGAAGCTCTGTGAGAGTAAGATGAGAAATCTCCTCTCATTTGATTTACAGCCTCTCAAAACCCCCCTAAATAGGTCTGCTCTCAAAACAGTTGCTCTTGAGTGCTGCATAATATTATATTATGTGAATATACCACAATTTCTCAATCCAGTTGTTTCTGCATGGATATTTACACTGTTTGCATGTGACTGCTATTGTCTGTGATGCTATGAGCATGGATGCACAAATCTCCATCTGTGTCTCAGTTCTGTTGCACTTGAGTATATTCCTAGTAGTGGAATAACTAGGTCATATGGAACCTCTATGTTCAGCTTTTTCAGGAAATGCCAAACTGCCTTCCAGAATGGTTTTACCATTTTACAATCCCACCAACTGTGTATGAAAGTTCCAATCTCTCCACATCCTCTCCAATATTTACTGCTTGTTGTCCTGCTAAACTTTACCACTGCAATTAGGGTGAGATGATACCTCATTATGTTCTAATTTTCATCTCTCTTATTG